ACAGGTTTGGAGGTAGGTCCTGGGGGGGGGGTACCATATATATATATATATATAAGCCCTTAAGCCCTTAAGCACTACAGCCCCTAAGCCCTAAAGCCTTAAGCCCCAAGGCATGAACCGTAAGAACCCTAGCGGCTTGCTGAGGCCGACTTCATTTCTTCCTCCAAGGAGTCTGAGTCGAGGCAATCCTGGCTGGATCTGGGGCCCGAATAAAGAGTGTCCATAGGATTTTTTAAAGTGTGATGACCCTTTCTCTTCGCTGCAGGCCACCCTTTCTGTCCATAGGTTTAGGGTTTAGGGTTTAAGGGTTAGGGTTTAGGGTTTAGGGTTTAGGATAGGTTTAGGCTTCCTTCAAGGGTTTTCTAGCCTGTTTTTGTGTGTGTGTGTGTCGGTATCTCTTAAACCCCCAAATATGCAAGTCATAGGGAGCCAAACACAGGTTCACAGAATCCTCGACCAAACCCCCGCACCGAACATAGCGGCCCAAATAACGACTTGTACTATATTGGGCGGTTCCTTGTTATAACTCTAGGATAATGTACCCCAAAACCCTATTCTAATTCTGAAGGCCCCTATTTCTGTATTAATAATCTGGCTTCTCCAGATCTTACCAGCTGAAGCCCGAACCTCAAATCCCAAGGCTACTCGACCAGAATCCGAACTGCTACATCCCAAAGCCGGAAACTCAGAAACCCTAACCCGAACCGTCCAGGCACCTACTACAGAGGGTACTAGAGCCCCTATCCCAGACCCCCAAAAGGATCTAAAAAATAGATCCCCGAATTAGGGACCCTAACTACTAAAGGGTACTTTATAGGAACCCCCTCAGGGGATCTAGTTTTTAGATCCTTTTGGGGGTCTGGATAGGGCCCTGTACAGTAGGAAGCTGGAGGGTCACAGAACTTGGGGCAACCCTTTCAAGGCCAAAACCATAAACCCTAAACTCTAAACCCTGAACCCTAAACCCTAAACCACCAAACCCTAAACCCTAAACCCTAAACCACTAAACAACTGCGAGTCCTCGGGCCATCGCAGTTGGCTTCGCGCAGCCAGCAGCGCTCTCATGAGCTTCTTCGCCAGCTCCGGGTGAGCATCCACCATTTGAGTCAGCTGCTCCTCCTGTAAGACCAGCACCTGGTTCTTATTCGTGGCGGCTTGCTGCTTACCCATAGTCATAAGCCCCATAGTAGTCCCTTTTTGGGATTACCTTATAGGATTCTAGATATGAACCCCAAAAAGGAACTACTATGGGGCCTTGCTGGTTAGATGAGCTTCTCAGTCTCGGGTGCAGCGTACGCTGCATTTACAAGGGGCGCACGCCGTCCAAACCATAACATTTGCTTGCAAGGCCGGTACACCCCACCCTAAACCCTAAACCCTAAACCCTAAACCCTAAACCCTAAACCCTAAACCCTAAACCCACACTGGATGGCTTCGGCTCCCCCCCAACCCCCCCTGGCCCCCCTTGGGTTTAGGGGTTAGGGTTTAGGGTTTAGGGTTTAGGGTTTAGGGTTTAGGGTTTAGGGTTTAGGGTTTAGGCCCCCCCACCTCGCAGCCGTTGTTCATGATCATCTGCACGCAGAGCTGTTCTAGGCGACACCCCGTCCCAAAGACATGGCTCAGGAACATCAGAACGTTGCTCTCGGAGAGCAAGCTGCCAAGCTCCGTCTCTGCCTTGATACGCTTTAGGGGTGCCGGGCTGCATCTCCCAATACAAACACTAGGATTCATATCTTGCGAGCTCTAAGAAGAGGTGGGCCGTTAATCCCTGAGTTGGTGGGGGTCTCTCGGCCTTTTCCCCACCCCTGTCCACAAGCCCTCTCTCCCTCAACCCCTGAACCCGATAAATCCCAGTTGAAACCCTAAAGCCTCGATCATAAAAGCCCGAAGCCCCGTGCTATTTCAGCTTTTTCTCCTCGGCTGGGTTGCAGTTTTGGGGGCCCTTAGAGTTAAACGTATCTATGAATAGGTACCTCTATAGGAACCATAGGGGAAATCCTTAAGTTTCCCAAAACCCAGACCCCAAAAGGATCTAAAAAATAGATCCCCTAATTAGGAACCCTAACTACTTATAAAGGGTACTTTATAGGGACCCCCTTAGGGGATCTATTTTTTAGATCCTTTTGGGGGTATGGGAAGTGCTACCAAGTCGGGCCTTCTCCACCAGACCTCTATAGGAACCATAGGGGAAATCTTAAAGATACCCTAAACCCTAAACCCAAAACCCTAGGGGAAATCTTAAAGTTTCCCAAAATGCCTTCTCCACGAGGCCGATGAGACGATACTGGTCGGCCAGCTTGCGGATCGCGAGCGCGAACGTGAAGTCTCCATTGGCGAAGAAGGTGCCTTGGAGCCACCCTAAGGCCTTTAGGGTTTAGGGTTTAGGGTTTAGGGTTTAGGGTATATAACAATACATAATATGTGATAGGATCATGGGACTTAGTAAGTAGGACTATAATTAAGGTAGCTAACTATACTTATAACCCCGATTAGGCGACTTATAACCTGACTTACTAAGTCCCATGACCCTTTAAGTAGAGCTCCAGTTACCCTAAGAATATAACAATACATAATATGTGTTTAGTAACCCGAAGGCTCCATGTACCTTTATAGTAGTGACTTTAGCCTTAAAGGGGTCCCGATATAGGTACTTTAGGGCTTATGTATCTACTATAGAGGTACATGGAGCTTTTGGGTAACCTCTGCATTACTCTTTAGGCAGCTGGAGCCCTTGGAGCAAGTTTCAAAGATGTGCATCTAGACGCACATTGAAGCCGTACTGGCTTCCGGCTGAGTGTATAGGAAATTTGGGTTGACGGCTTGGAGCTTGTGGGGTGTGCATGTGCAACTATGTTCGTATGTATACACATGCATAGACATATGTATATATAAATATGTATTCGCAGATAGATAGGTGCATATGTACCTATATATATGCACAGTTATAACTATGTAATGTGTATATATATATATATGTACACGCACACACACACACACATACACACTCATATTCCATCTTGCGAGCTACGGTTGCAGTACAACCTCCATTTAACGCACCTTAAGCTGTTTTTTGCTTGCGTCGGTTCTGAACACCAATGCAAAACAATACAAGGTGTCCAACCAACATAACGAACGGTCTAGTAAGACAAGCTTAACCCCACACCTTTCCAGTCAAAGGTTCTTCCGGCGTGCCAGGCCGGAAAAATCGGACAACAGCAGACCAAATTGGAAAAAAGCTGCAGTCCTCTGTGCAAGCTTTGGTGCTCTCCTTTGAGTGGTCCCATAAGCTAAGCATACGGTCAACCGTCAGGCCTTGACATCTATTGTAAGCTTATCTATCTACATATATACATATATATCTAAATAATTTTACATGTATATAGACATATAGAACATGTACTATGATACATACATATATGTATATATGCATGCAAACATGTGTGCTTATGTGTGTGTGTGTGAGTGTGTGAGTTATTGTTTTATACAGATATACATATATATATATATATACATATACAAATATATATATATATATATAAACATATATATATATATATATACAGATATACATGTATGTACAAACATATATACTCACAAGCGTGCTAAGGGTGCGAGCCCGGGTGCCAGACGTCATGTAGCGGAAGATGGCGCTGACAGCGCGATGATCAGCTTGAGGGTCGCTACTCCTGGGCTGGTCTTAGAAGCCTGGGTTGAAGTTTGGGTTCAGGTTTGTTTTAAGTTTAGGGTTTAGGGTTGACCTGGGTTGCAGTTTGGGTCCAGGTTTTTTTTTAAGTTTAGGGTTTAGGGTTTAGGGTTTAGGGTTTAGGGTTTTAGAATGTTAGGGTTTAGGGTTTACCTGGGTTGTCGCTTTAGGGTTCTTGAATGTATTTATGACCATGAAAGAAATCCCGAAGTCTGAAGTTTCCCAACGTGGCACCTGGAAACCCGCATAGTTGTTGTAGGGACCAGGGTTTGGGGTTTGGGTTGTCTAAGTTTTTTGCTTCTGCGGGTGGTGTCGGGTTTTGCAAGGGCTTTAAAAAGCGGGGCCCTTGGGGGTTCCTTTAAAGGGTTCTAGTTTAGGGTTTAGGGTTTAGGGTTTAGGGTTCTATAAGGATTACGGGGGCATTGGTGGCTGCTTACAAGGCTTTTTTCGGAGTTTCTCTCTGAGTTCTTTCCTGGGGCTTAAGGACTCGGGAGCCAGTGCCCTAGTTCACGTAGAGTTTCCGTTGAGGGATGAGGGTTTTAGGGTCTAGGGTTTAGGGTTTAAGGCTTTTAGGGTCTAGGGTTTTGGGTTTTAGGCTTTTAGGATTTCTTAGGGTTTTTAGGGTTTAAGGTCCCCTAAACCCTAAACCCTAAACCCGTCTCCTTCTTGCTAAACCTCGACTTTCTAAGAAAGCGAAGAAGCAACTCTCGAGATGGAGGTTTCCGAACATAGGGGGTTTAGGGTTTAGAGTTTAGGGACCCTAATATAGTACCCTAAATAGTAGGATCCTTATTACGTAGGCCCCAAAAGAAGGTACCCGACCCTAAATACTAGGATCCTTACTATATAGACCCCAAAGTAATGAAAACCCCACATCCTAAACCCTAAACCCTAAACCGTAATATAGTACCCTAAATAGTAGGATCCTTATGATATAGACCCCAAAGTAAGGTACCCTACCCTAAATACTAGGATCCTTATGATATAGAACCCCAAAATAACCTCAAATACCAACTTTTAAGGGCCATAAGGGCTCTATTAAAGGGCCCTTGGGGGTCCTGGAATTATATAGAGCCCAAAGTAAGGTACCCTTCATTTTCGGCAACTCTCAAGATCGGCCCAGGCGGCAAGTCGATCTCATTGCTGCAGCCCTCCCGGAAGCGGGGCTCTTCCTGAGCTTTCGTACCCGGATGGGGCGGATTTTGGGGTTTAAGGTTTAAGGTTTAGGGTTTAGGGTTTAGGATTTTTGGGTTTGCTGGGGTTCCGGTGTAGGGCTCAGAGCGGGGATAGACAAAATAATGTTCTGACGTGGGGTTTCTTGTTTGGGTTCAGCCTAGACCCCCCAACTACGCTCTAATATACCCTAAGTACGCACCATAAGGGCTCCATGAAAGGGCCCTTGGGGGGTCCTGGAGGTAGGGTTTTCTGCCAAGCCTTATGACTGCATAGCAAGTGGTGCGGTTTAGGGTTTAGGGTTTAGGGTTTGGGGATTGACGCGAAATGGCTTTAGGACCTCGTTTCGTGCAAAGCCTGCAGAATACCAGATCCCAGTAGAAGTAGGTGGCAACCCTGAACCCTGAAGCCCTAAACCCTAGAGCCTGCCCACCCACCACCCGAGATATTGTGAAGACTGTAACCCTAAGCGCTAAGCCCTAAGCCGTAAACCAAAACCCTTAAGATGGTAGCCGCCGCGGGTCTAGCATGTCCCGGAAATACTCCGAGCAGGCCATCAGAACCTGGGCTTTGAAGTAACCAGGGAGAAAAAAGTATAGACTTTTATTTCATAATGGTTCCTATAAGGAACAGGTCCCCCAAAAAAGTATTAAAGTATGGTACTCCAAAGCCCAGGAACACGCTTGTCAAAGAAGAGGGGCGGCCCAGATGCCAGTCGCACAGTGACCTGCGTTACCTGGTCTCTTCTTCCACCCTAAAAACTTCCCTCTCTCCCTCTCTCTCTCTCTCTCTCTCTCTCTCTCTCTCTCGCTCTACATATATATAGTTATATACAGGCGAAAAGAGAGGATTACAAGACTCTGTATTGCTTCTGAGTCAATGGAGGGTCCAAGTTCCCAAATAGACTACACTCTGGAAGGTCTCGGGCACCTGAAACTCTATTAGTTAGGCACTTAAACCTTTCTAAGTCTAAGGCAATTCTGAAGGCACCTTGAAGGAGCTTTTTTGGATAGTTGTTCAGACTTCATTCCAAGATACGGCTACATTCCCAAAGGCTCCATGTACCTTAATAGTAGATACATAAGCCCTAAAGTGCCTATATAGGGACCCCTTTGAGGCTGAAGTCACTACTATAAAGGTACATGGAGCCTTTGGGATTATCGGGTCTAGAGGCATTTCCCCGGAAGCGCCACTCGGCCGCAACCAACGTCTCGCTGTCAGGACGAGACCAGTCTCGATTTCGTATCCATTCGCGTAGTTCTCTACATTAGGGTCCCTTCTAGGGCCCTTAAAGGGATCTATAAGGGTTTCTGTAGGGGTACTATAAGGGTAGTTCTCTACATTAGGGTCCCTTTTAGGGTCCTTTTTGTCAGAGTGCCGTGTTATATTGGGGACCCAAAAATAAAAAGGGACCCTAACTTAGAGAATTACCCATTTGTGCATGTAGGTATTCAGACCTCAATGTTGCATTAACTGAGACAACAAGGTTCCTGCTCCTTCGTCACCGGCAGTGCCCCTTTTTTTGGAGATAAGCCAGAACCCTATCAAAGTCTACACCCACTCCAAAACCCAGATGAAATCCCTACAACACCGTTAGGCCGTTCACCGCGAGAAGTGCAAGGACTTCCCAGACCCCCCAAAAGGCTCTAAAAAATAGATCACCCAATTAGGGACCCTAACTACTAAAGGGTACTTTATAGGAACCCCCTTAGTTGTTCTACTTTTTAGATCCTTTTTGGGGGTCTGGGTTATGAGAAGGTATTACAACCAAAGACCGGAAGTCTATCTCCGACAACAACGATAAAAAAACCTAAAATCCGGGAACCGTCATGCAGTCTTTCATGAAAGGAAGCAAGGTGGAAAGGAAAGAAAACCACCTCCAAACAACACAATCTAGGGGCTTTACCACTTCTACCGACCCATGTTCTGAGGGGGGGGTGCAACTATTTCACTGCAATGCTCCATGCGATCATTGCACAAGGGCACCTCCTGTGAGAAGTCAAGGCCCTGGTAGAGATCTTTCAAGACATCGGTCTGCAGCGGGAACTCCACACTGGCCTGCGGCAGGAAGACGGCTTGTAGGGTTTCGGGCTTAGGGTTTAGGGTTCAGGGCTTAGGCTAGGGTTGCTTTAGGGTTTAGGGCTTAAGGGGTAGAGGCCAGGCACATCCCTCGTTGTCAAAGGGTTTGCCAAAAAGCCCAACACCCCACAGCGAAGGAACTTCCATTACATGACAATGATAGGTTCTTGATGTGATGATTCGGAGTATACCCTAAACCCTAAACCCTAAACCCTAAACCCAGACTACCTACTCAAAGGGTATTTTGGCTTTTTAGGGTCTTGGGGTTGAAACTCTGGTAGAACTTATCATGCCTACAATAAGGAAACTCCAAGGAGCAATGTTCATATTAATATGTATGTGTATATATATATAACTAAAAAGGTCCCAGACCCCCAAAAGGATCTAAAAAATAGATCCCCTAATTAGGGACCCTAGCTACTAAAGGGTACTTTATAGGAACCCTCTTAGAGGATCTATTCTTTAGATCTGGGGTCTGGGGTATTAACCTGTATCAATATGTACTAATATTCATACCTACTCCGAGCCCTGTACCTTAAGAACCCAAAACCCACTTTTTTGTAGGCTCTTATTATAAACCCTAATATGGGATTTATAGGGACCCTACAAAAAAGTAGGTTTTGGGTTCTTAAGGTAGAACTGCAGTCCTGCACCACCAGGCGTCCGAGCCCCACCCAAGAGGCCAAGTCCTGCAGCGGCCTAGGCCACAGCTCGGACCATCCTCGGCTTCGGGAAGTAGCCGGGCTTTGGGTTTAGGGTTTAGGGGTTTAAAGTTTAGGGCTTAGGGTTTAGGGTTTAGGGTTCAGGGTTAAAGGCTTAAGGGCTTAACGTTTAGGGTTTAGGGTTTGGGGTTAAAGGCTTAAGGGTTTAGGGTTTAGGGTTAAAGGCTTAAGGGTTTTAAGTTTAGGGTTTAGGGCCGTTTAGGGTTTAGGGTTTAAGGCTTTTGAATCCGGGGACATCTCCGAGATTTTGGATGGGGTATAAAGCCTTCTTTGCATTGTCGAGCTTTGAATGTTAACATCGGGCGTTCCGAGAGGATTTCTAAGGTTGCCTAGGGCGGCGCCCGAAACCCCAAACCAGACCATCACTAAACCCTAAATCCTAAACCCGAAATCCTAAATCCTAAACCCGAAATCCTAAATCCTAAACCCGAAATCCTAAATCCGAAGTCCTACACCCTAAACCCTAAACCCCAAACCAAACCCTGGCGGCCGCAGTGCCGTCCGAAGCGTTACTTCCCCAACAAGCCCCGAAAACAAAAGGTTAAACTGGCAGACTACTACTACTACTACTACTACTACTACTACTACTACTAAACTATGAGAACCCGAAAAGTTTCACAGAGTTTCTTTTGGGTCCCTCTGAAGTCTTATAAGGTTTATAGCACTTTTGGAAGGTTTATGAAGTAAAGTTTCAGCAAGTTCAAATGAGTTTTTTAATGAGGACTGCCAGAAGCCTAGAAGGTCTTACAAGGTTTCACGGGTTTAGGCGCTGCAGGGCTTCTGCACAAGTCAAGAGAATGTGGGCTAAACCTACTGTTGATCGTATAAATCCTGCATTACCTGAATAAGCTACGGGAATTATGGTATTCCCTATTATGGGTATTGCAGGAATTATAGCATCAACCGTATGGCATACTGCTTTGGGCCTTTGGGGTTTCGGGCTTTAGGGTCTTGTTCTGCAATGGTCTCAACAACGGAAACAACATCCACGAAAACACAAACCAACACGGGGATCTTACAGATCCAATGCTACAGGCCTTGGCGATACAGCTGCCCACCGAAACTCCATGTAAATTGAAAGTTCAAGCCCCTATGTTATATTCGCTATACTCCTCCAGGACCCAGCATCCGTTCCCGGACTCTTCGTCCGTGAAACAGAAGGTTGCGGCCTCTGTCAGAACCCTTCTGAGCCGTATCAACCCTGCACAACAACAAGACAAGCAACACTATTGAAAGTTATACCACCCTAAGCAACCACTTCTCAAACACAGCAGATTTGAGGACCCACCTAAACCCTAAACCCTAAACCCTAAACCCGGCCTCTTTCACAATCCAGTTCGCCCCTTCCTGGTAGACCGTGACTTCGCACTTCGCATCCTGGACGATCCACTCGGAGCCTATGTCCTGCATCCTGGGTTCTTCGAAAGAGGGTTTAGGGTTTAGGGTTTAGGGTTTGAGCCTTAATAATTAGAATAGGGTGTTTTGGGGTATATTGTACTAGAACTTTAGTAAGGAACCCCCAAACTAGTCTAGGTAATTTCTCAGACGCCTATCTTAGGTCTATCTGGGCTTGCAGGATTTAGGAATGAAAGGGTTCCAGAAGAGCTCTGTTTAAGGGGACGGATCGGTGCCATAAGAGTGTTAACGGGACTGAGAGCTTTCATAAGAGCTCTTTGTATAGGGACGTAAGGGGTTTAAGGAGTTGAGTCATAGCATGCCAAGGAATGTTTCGTATGCACCCGTTATGGATCCAACTTTCAACCTCCACCTTTGACAATCGTTAGAACATCCTTATCATTGAAACCTGAATTATAAGTTTCCTAACAAGGACCCAGCATCGGCCCCGGTGTCAGGTAGATGAAGACACCCAGACAGCCACTGCGCTCCGGGACGATCGGGTGAACACGCAGCTGGATTCGAAATGCGTTCCTTGCTGCTCCATACTGAGTTCATGAGGGTATATGGGAGCTTGGCTGGGTTTCGCAAGCCTTGATGAATCTACCATCTGTGTCTGGTTAACCCTTGACGTAATCAAAGCTATAGGTGCCCAAGGAATTCAGCAGCGAGTGGGCGCAGGCCCAGACCAGGTTGGAACTGGAAAACCCCCCTAAGCTTAACAAACGTGCAATAAGTGAAGAAAACGCAGCCAAGACCGTCTATTACTTCATATAGCACCATTCTGCATTCTGCACAAAAACCGTAGTGAAATCATGAAAGCTCGACACTGCACAAAATCCTCGACAAAAGCGTAGCAGAGCCTCAAACCCCCGACAAAGACCCTCTATTGAAGAGAACACAACGGTTTAGGGTTTTGGCTTTAGGGTTTATAGGATTTTGGGATGCCTGAAAACCCAACAAAGACCTAAAAGCCCTTATCGAGCACACGCACATCACCCCACCTTTAAGCCCTCGAATAACCCTAGACCCAAAGTCCGCAATCCCAACCGTAACTTACTTCCCCAATCGGCCAGGCAAATTAAAGTGTTACACTTTCAGATTACTACTAAACCCTAAACCCTAAACCCTACACCCTAAACCCTAAACCCTAAACCCAACAAGTTTAAAGGTTGGGTATTTGGGGAGCCAAGGTAAACCCTCGACGCGAAGCCCCGCGACTCCAACCCTAAACCCCTTAAGCCCAATATCATGGCCCAAAAGAGTTTAAACTTTTCTTTTAGTAGGGGTCTAATATACCAAAAAAAATTAAAGTCTACCCATTAGGCTCCGAAGAAACCCTTAAAGCACTTTGTTGAACCCCTAAACCCTAAACCCTAAACCCTAAACCCTAAAAACCCTAAACCCTAAACCCCTGAAACCCTCGCAGTCGAACAGAGGTTCGGTGGCCCGGCTTGCCGAGAGAGTACCGGGGCCGGGGTTTGAGAGCGCGGATCCTCCCGAGGGTCGGCTGGGCTCTTTTTGGGGTTTTGGTGAAGGTTTAGGGCTTAGGGTTTGGGTTTAGGGTTTAGGGTTTAGGGTTTAGGGGTTTAGGGTTTTCGGGGTTTTGGTGAATTTCGGGTTTTGGGGCTTAGGGTGCAGGGTTTAGGGTTTAGGGTCTAGGGCGCAGGGGATCCTAGCAGGCGTTTTTCGGGCTTGTCATTTGTCGCTACAAGTAGGGTTTAGGGTTTAGGGTTCGGGGTTTAGGGTTTATGGTTTAGGGTTCGGGGTTTAGGGTTTAGGGTTCGGGGTTTAGAGTTATGTAGGTTTAAGTTTGAAGGCTTCACGGTTTCAACTGACTCCTTTGACGGCTCCATTTCAAAATTTAAGGTCCTAAACCGGAAACCCTGATCCCAAGCCCCTAGCCCAAAACAACCCATGTACCTGTCCGAAGCCCCGAAAACCAAGTCTTAACTACTGTTGATGATGTGAATATATATATATATATATTGCATTACCATAAGGACCCTAAACTACGGGAATCATAGCATATTCCTTATTATGGGTAATGCACCATTTACATCATCAACCGTATTATGTTAAGATAAATAATCTACCTTGATCGTCTGTGTACAACAATATTAGATGAAATGGATCCCCAGCCCCTATTGACAATTATTTTAGGATTTAGGGTTTAGGGCCCATCTATTATGTTGGGCCTAGGGTGGTTTAAGGGTCTAGGAGTTCTTTCAACCTGAAGCAGCCCAGAGCCCAGACAGTCCCGATCTCGTGGCCGCACATAGCCCAGCCGAAGGATCAAGCTACCGTGCACGCGTTTTAGGGTTTAGGCTTTCAGAGGGTTGTAGGATTCTAGGGTTTAGGAGGGTTGCAGGTTTTTGGGGTTTACAGCCTTGGGGGCTTTAAGGGTGTTGGGGGTGTTGGGGTTTCACGGTTGTGGGGCTTCAGGGATTTTTGTGGTGTCGGGCTTCTTCCCTGCCAGTTGCTCCGTCCTTCGGTCCTGAAGCTTTTGGACTTCGGTTTGTAGTTCTTAGGATTCAGGGTTTAGTATTCAGGGTTTAGTATTCAGGGTTTAGTATTTAGGGTTTAGTATTTAGGGTTAAGGGATAAGGTTTAGTGTAAAAGGGTTTGTGGGATCATGTTTTGTAGCGGTTGGAATATTTAGTCACACCATCCCCCAATGAATGCTTTTATATGCTGTTACAACTATGATAGTCCCCCCAAAGCCCCATAGACCCTAGACCCTGACAAACTAAGTATAATGGCCCCTGCTCATGTTTTGTTATCGGTTGCTGCGAGCCCAAAGCCCCGAAGTGCCTATCGAGAAGCCGGGATCAGGATCCCTCCGTTTTTGACATTGGAACTCGAACTCATGGATTTTCTCGCTTATGTCGCCCCTCTCTCTCAGGGGGCTCCCTTGCACGGGCTCCCATTCGAACAGTTTCAGTGTCATCCACTTTGCTTGAGAAATCAAGAGCAGCCACAACCTCTGAACCCTAACACCCCCCTTGTGGGCTCCCTTGCCAGGCCGGGAGGCCAACGAACCCCAAACCCTAGGCCTCCCAGAACCTACGGCCTGAACGTAGAGATCCTCTGGGCAAAAGTCCGCCTGGGAGTCGGGAGTCCCACATAAACCCAGATTATTTAAAGGGGGCTCTTTTTTTTGTGAGGACGTTGAGGTTCTGTGGCCAGGGCTCCTGCACATCTTCTGAGACTGGCAGATTCAAGCCCTAATCATAGCCAGGCGTCAGGCCTACCCATAGGCCCCATAGTAGTTCCTTTTCAGGGTTCATATTTAGAACCCCATAAGGTAATCCCCAAAAGGGACTACTATGGGGCCTATGGGTAACCTAAATCCCATGAAGCCTCACCCTAACGGCACCCCAAGCCTGACACCTTAAAACCCCAGACCCTCAAAGGCCCAAAACTCCAAACCCCAAAGAGCCTCCTAATACGGCCCTTTGCCAATACAATTTTAGATTCCTCTTCCATAATTAAAGTCGAGTATGCCCCAAAACCCTATTCTGGCTATTACGGCCCCTTACATTCAAGCCTGGCCACACCCTGGCCCCAAAACCCTATTCTAGCTATTAAGGCCCCTACATGAAAGCCTGGCCACACCCTGGCCCCAAAACCCTATTCTAGGTATTACGGCCCCTACATTAAAGCCTATTCTAGCTATTAAGGCCCCTACATTAAAGCCTATTCTAGCAGCTAAGGCCCCTACATTAAAGCTTGGTCACACCCTGGGCGGCAGAGGCGGTACCGAGACGACTTGACGGAGCCTCACTACGAGAAGAAGCCAGAGCTTCCTGTCAGCAGCCCGAGGACCCTGCAGGCTCCAGGTGCCTGGTTTAGGCTTTAGGGTTTAGGTTTTAGGTGTTTAGGGGTTTAGGGGTTTGGCTTTAGGGGTTTAGGTTTTAGGGTTTAGGATGTAGGGTTTTGGTGTAATAGTTGATTGTTCACCATATATTTTGTAACCAGGTAGCATACTATTTAGGCAGCCGGAGCCCCAGGGCAGAACACAAGTTTCATGGTTGTTTTTGTTTAGGCCTTGGGGTTAGGGTTGTTGGTTGTGGGGTTGGGGTATTAGGGTTGAGATATTGTTTGCGGTGTATAAGGTTCAGGGTCTGGGTTTCAGAGTTCTGGTTTGCCGTTTGGGGTTGGAGAGTGCAAGATTAGAGTTCTTGGGATTAGGTGATTAGGATTAGGGTTTAAGAGGGTTAGGGCTTCTGGTCCCTTGTGCCATCTTATTCCTTATTGCGAGGATGTTTGGTTTCCGTGGGAACATGCCCTAGCTGACCGTATACCAACAAGCATTGGGGTAGTTCTCTAAATTAGGGTCCCATTTTAGGTCCCCCCAATATAGTACGGCACCCTTGTAAAAAGTACCCTAAAAGGGGCCCGAATTGTGAAAACTACCCATCTACAAACTGAGCACCGGGCCCCTGGGCAAAGGCGAGTGTCTCTTCAGGGAGGGGAGGGTGGACCAGGGCTTCTGGAACTTGGACAAAGTGGTGTCCAAAGAGCCCAGTACCCCGTACTTAACTAAGGACTATACTTTAAATCGGAATTAAAACAGCCCCTTATAATTTAAGGTATATTCCCTAATTAAGGGGTATTGGGATCTCTGGGTTGCAGGGTCGGGTTTAGGGGTTTAGGGTCTATGGGGCATATGCATAGACGCAAGTGTAGAGCGGGTCGGTTACCGTTAAGCGTACTTTTAGACCACGACATCTTAGCTATAACTCTAGATGCCCACTTCCCCATGTCCGGATAGGCTTTGCATTGCTGGACCTCAGCGGCGCTCAGAAAATGTCAACCCCAAGCATTACCTGTCACGTTGTTGATGCCATGAAAGCTTACCCTAAGGGTCCAAGTAGTCCTTATTTGAGGACTTTGGGGCCGTTTTGGGTCCCTAAAACCATAAATAAGGACTACTTGGACCCTGAGGGTTAAAGAACAAGCGCTACAGTCCGGAACCAAACCAGGTTCTCGGACAGGGACTTCGACGACTTCTACAGCATCGCCTGCAAGGTGGTGAATGCCATGGTCGCCGAAGCTGCAAGGGGTGAGAAGAGATTCGGGGTTTTTCGCCTTCAGAGTCAAGGTTTTGGAGTTTTGAGATTGGGGTTCTTGGGCTCAGATATGGAGCTTTTAAGGTTTAGGGTTCTGGGTGAGAGTAGTGAAAAGGTCTGCTGCATGAGAGGTCCCCGGGGCAAATAAACAAGTCTCGGTGCCCTGGGCAGACCCCAGGTGTCCACGTAGTATCTACGATGCTTAGGCCATCCTGGACCTGAAAGTGGTCCCAATATAATGTTGGTGCCTAAACGATTTCAAAAGAATTTTTGGGGAGTTCCTTATTATACTTATAGTATAATGGGCCCCAAAACCCTAATTATTCTAATCATTATAAGGCCCCCTATAGTACCTCAGGGCCAAAGTGGGCCATCTATGGGCACATGCACCCTTGAGGGAGACTGTCGCACCTCCGAGGTGGCCGAGTACAAAGTTCCGATGATTTTGGACCAAGCCACCATCAGCAGCTGGACCCTTTTTAGGGATTTAGGGTTTAGGGTTTATAATGATTCATGACAAGTTCGGAAAGGTCATCTTGTTCAGCATAGTTTCAGATGCCGTTGATCGGCGGATGCGAAAGCTGGCTCCGCAGTGAAGCTGCCAGGGCTGCTTGTTCCAACTCCGGGCGAAGTGGAAAGCCTGTTGCAAAAGGGTTTATAAACCCAAAATCCGAAGCCCGTGCTCAGGGTGCAGATTTGCGGTTTCAAGGTAAATCAAAGGAGTCTGCCGAATCGCTGGGGTCTTTTTCGGTTTCAGTTTAGGGCTTAGGGAGCCTGCAAAACTCGAAACCTTGCGTACCCTGGCCTTACACTTAAGGGCTTTTTTTGTAGGTTCCTTAGAAGGTTTAGCGTGACTGCTTGTTCTGAGATGTTTGGGCTTGCTGCTTGAGGCGCTCTGTGGCCTTTGCACATTCCAGGGCAGATTGCGGGTGTCCCTCAGGGTCCATATACCCTTCAACCTAGTAGCAGAGTAGGTGGCCCATGACCTTTGTTGGGGGTACTACAAACCCTATAGTAGTAGAGTAGGTAGCCTTTAACCTTTTTGGGGGTCACTATAGTCCCTAGTACTAGAGTAGGTAACCTCTAACCTTTTTGGTGTACTATCGTTCCTATATCATCCGAAGTTTCCCCCCAAGGTTAACCTTTAATTCCCCAGGATATCGGACATGTAGGGGTCAAGGCTTGTTCAGGAGTACCAGGGTTGAACAGGGTTTTATCGCGGCATTAGGAACCATGCAACACACATACAGAGTATCCCCGTGCTTCGACCTGAACAAGTTCCTCTCTAGGTTTCTGCTATAATGAAGATAGATACTTGTAGAAATCGGAACCTAGCAATGAGCTGTGCAAGCAGGCATCGTAAAGTAAGCATGTCAACTCCACTCCACTTCCCAGAAGGAATGCCAGATGAACCCGGTTTC